CATAGAGCCCAGCCTCTCGGATAATCTGCTCTGCATACATGTTGAAAAGGTATGGAGACAGGATGCATCCCTGGCGCACACCCTTCCCAATTTTGAACAAACATATATGTCTTGGAAAAGATGCAGCCAGAGTGCTTCTTGGAGGCAAAGATTGTGAAGCTTCGTCTTTCATACTTAGGACAGGTAGCTAGGCAAGGCTATTCCTTGGAAAATGACATTATGCTTGGAAGACTGTAAGAAAAGGAAGACCTCCACTGAGATGGATTGTCACTGTGACTTCAGCAATGGGCTCTAGTGTCTCGGAGATGGTGAGAATGGCATTGGATAAGGCAGGATTCAGGTTGGTTGTTCATAGGGTTGCTATGAGTCATACTTGACCTCACCTAACAATAACAACAACAACAACAGCATGAGTTGTAGGCGACTTGATTGGCCACCACCACCAACAAAAACATTTAGTGCTTGTGGGGTTACCTTGGGACCTTTGCGTGAAGTTGCTCTCGTCCATCCCAGCCAAGTCCCCCTACATCTTTTGGTCTAATAAAACTGGACATTCACCTTCCTTGCCTGGTTCACTTCCAACATGACGTTCGGAAAGCAACCTTTCCTGTGAATCCAGATCCTGACTGAAAACTTCTAAAAACACCAAAATTTGTTGTGTTACATCAATTATGAAAACAAAAGTAAAAATGTGATTTTACATGACAGGAAACGTGATAATCACGAGCATTCTGGATTCAGAATAGTCGGTCATTCACCCTGTTTCTGCGAATGTCCGTTGCAGTGTCCTCGTCTGTTTATTGGGTGAGTGCATTCTAAGTCCCCATTTGGGTTAAACCCCCTCTTCTGAACTTTGCAGGCACAGCTTTCAATATTGGTTATTTTAAACGAACATGAGCAGACTCCCAGGATGCCTTTCATAGGAGTGTGGGATAGAGAGGTGGGACCAATCTTTGTTCACTGAGCCAGTCTGGTTGACATTTGCCTAAGCGAATACTCTTTCCCAGATGGTCAATGGAGTTCTTTTGGAGAGGCTCTCTCCTTGCTCAGTGAACAATACTGTTCGCACCTATTGAGATTTGGTTTGGGGAAAGAGCGTGTGTGAACCCTCAGCCAGGTCTGGGAGTTACAACAAGGAGACAGACTATGCCGATTCACCAGCACAAGGACCATCTCCGGGACTGACAGACCCAATCCAACTCAGACAGAGGGCGGGACTTCCGGAACCCCGACACCGGAAAGTGACGCGGCCTAATCTCACTATTTCGGCATTCGACTCCTCGGCCTCGCAGGCGCTTGTGGCGGGCTCCGCCGAGACCGACTTTCTTGGTGCTCGATTCTCCCGTGCTGCTGCTGTTGCGGCCGAAGGAGGGGCAAGACGCAAGATGGCAGACAAACCGCCAGGCGGCTCTCAGAAGGCCAGTTCGAAGGTAATTTCTTCAAGGGCTTCGTCAGTCAGCGTGTCCGTGACTGTTGTGTGGCGGCGACGGGCGCTTCTGGTCGAGCAGGAGGCGAGCGGGTCGGGGATGGGCGGTACGGTCTGGGTGGGGAGGCCCGGGCGCCGCCGCTTCGTGGTGCGCAGGTTGAGAGGCCTGCTCTCCGTCGGTGCCAGTGCGCGTTCGTCCGGAGCCTGCGGGGCCCGCCGAGCAGTACACCCCGCTTCTGCCGCCGGAGGGCCCTCGGGATTCCGAGCGAGCTCCGGGAGCCGTGCGGAGCGCCCTCGGGGTCTCGGCTCGTCGGGCCCGAGTCCGCCGGCGGCGCTGGGCAGAGGCGGGAATCGCAGCCCCGCCGCCTGGCGCTCAGTTTCTCGAGCTCACATGCTTCCTTCCCTGGTCTTCGTGGGGTGCGGGGAATTCGCGCAGCTCGGGGAGCGCACCTTCCGGGGGCAGGACGAGCGGGGCACGCGGGTGCAAGTGCGAAGGCGGGAGCCTTTTTCAGCGTCGCTCCGCGTGGTTTTTATCTTATTTTAGGGGAAGGGTCAGGTGGACGCTGCTTCCCGCTCCCTGTCGTGTGTTCTGCCCGCTCCTTTGTAGACGTCGAAGCCATTTCAGATCCATGAATTGCTGTTGGGTTTTAGGGAAACGTGTCTCGGTGCAGTGACAGCAGTGAGATGCCGTTGATCATTTGATAAGATTTTGCTTGGTCTTAGGTCTTAGTTGCCAGTTAATAGGTTTGCTTGTGTTTTTGTGTTTTGTTCCCCCCTTCCCCCCTTCTTTTTCCCTTTGCGTTTGCATCTAGAAACTATGTTAAAAGGATAGTTATTTCTCGCTGAAAGTTCTGGGAACTGTTTCTTGGTAAACACGTCTTTTGTTGACACATTGTTTTGAGAAACAAGCCGCCTTTGAACTTGGCTTCTCAGCTGCTGACACATTTGATTCTTTATGCCGTTGGTGAATAGAGCTCTTAATTAGTTGATGATTAGAAATGAACTTTACCTTTCTCCCCTTAACTTATGTAAACGCTATGATACAGAGACTGTTTGAGGCCTTAATATCTGTTGTGTATTAAAGGGATGAGAGGAATCGTGGGCTCTTCTTTGCTCAGTGTTGTCAACAGATTGAGACTCAAAGGAGCAGTTGTAAAGTTCACGGTAGCTACATCCTTCATCTTCATGCCTAAGTTTGGCAATTTCTTGTTGAAGTGCTAATGTAAATAGCTCCTGAGGTCTTGGATCTCTTGAAAGCATTTTAGCATATAACCAGGCTTCCTGCTCATGGCAGTGCATGCCTCTTCCTTGTTCTTGACAATTCCAGCATAAAATCTCTTCCAGAAAGTTTAGATTGCCTCAGTTGATCGTCTTTTGATGCTGTTCATAGGTTATCAGTGACAGTAAAAGGAATCGGTATCTTAGGGTTCAAATGATGTGGACATGATTTTGGCATTAGTGTGGTGATCATGGTATGCCTGTTGTCCAGTTGATTCTGACTCATTGCAGCCCTATAGGGTGAAGTAGGACAGCCCCATAGGACTTTCTAGACTGTGCTCTATATGGGAGCCTGTCAGCCCACTTCTCTCCAGCAGAGCTGCTGGTGGCTTCCCACTGCTGATCTGTTTGGTGACCTGACAAGCACTTAAAACTTGTGTCACCTGTGCACTTTGATTAATGAGGAGGCATGCTATCTTACAGTACAGATTAAAGTCTTGAGTCTTACCCTTTCCTCCCCCCTTCCTTTTGTTCTTAGAGGAAATAAAAAAGTTTTGACTTCTCCAAATAGTAGGAAAAATTTTAATCCTAGAAAGAATTGGAAGCCATTAGCTATCATCATGACTTCCACACTTGCTTTTTTTGCGGGGTTCATAAGGGGGATGAAAACCTAAAATTTACTGTAGAGATCAGAGATCATTTCAACTAATGATACAGTACAATATTTGAAATGTCTGGCTTTTTATCTGTGTGGTCTGATTTATCAGGGCACAATAGATAGACGAATGACTTGTATTCTGCAGTACAGATGGGATGATTTTTCCCATGATCATTCTACTTGTGGTATTTAAATCCCCAATCATACATGTGTTGCTATTACTTTTAAAATGTAAAGTATAAAAAAGTTTTTGTTGTTTACTGTGGCACGTAATGTCTTTTAATTATAAAATAAATGGTGAAATGAGATAGCCTCTGCATTTTCTTCTGGAGTTCTTGGGAAGACGCTAACAACAGATCAAATTTATAAAAGTTAAGAGAAAGAAGTAACATCTGGCTGCATGGAACATTAAATACTCTTCAAGAACCTAGAGGCATTTGATTGATTGAGTCCTTTGAAAGATAAGCTAAGCAATGACATTTAGACAGGTTGATTGAGCTGTTGAATTACTTCATAACAACATCACAGGACAGAGTAGAATAGTTTTGTAAAATTTCCTAGGCTGTTACCTTTATGGGAAAGATCCCTGATAGCATTGGCAGTTTAAATCCACCAGTGCCCCCAGGTGTAAAGATTTACAACCTTGAAAACCATGTGGAGGACGAAGAGTCAGTATTGCCTGAGCAGCAGTGGTACCAAATGGCCAGGTAATTTCTTCCTTGTAGTACAGGTAGGTTTGAACAGCCAACTTTGTGGATGGCAGTTAAGTCTTTTATTCTTTGCACTGTTAAGAAAAGGATAGCTTGAGAATTCTAAAAAAAAGAGATGGATAAAGTGAGAAATAGAAATTTCTGGAACGTGTTTTTAACCTCACTGACTTTGGTCAAGTTATCAGGAGGGGCCAGCCTTTGGAAAAAGCCATCATGCTGGGAAAGGTAGAGGAAGACCTTTAATGAGACACACTGACACAGTGACCAGCACAGTAAGCTTGAGCATGACAGATCATGACGAAGGTACAGGCAGAGCAAGGCTCAGATCTGTTTCTCATAGTATCATTTTGAGGTATAGTCAACTGGATGCACCTAACAAGAAATAGGATGGTAATGCAAAAAACAGAAAGTTCAAACTCATTGCCATGAAGCTAGAACTGATGTACAGGTGACCTTCTTTCAGGTTTTCAGAGACTAAATTCCATGGAGGGGATGTCCCTTTTTTCTCTCTTAGAACTGCTGGCAGATTTGAATCATCAGAGAGGTGTGGCCTTTGGGTTAGCAGTGCAGTTTGCTACAGATTATACCACCAGAGCGCCCTAAGAATGGTGGTAACAGTCAGGAAATGAGTTGTTGCATTGGGAAAATCTGCTATCTAGCACCTCTTTAAAGTGTTAAAGAGCTAGAATGTCAGTTTAAAGACTAAAGTTTGTCTGACCCAAGCCATAGTATTTTTTCATCACTTGATCAGAATGTGAAAGTTGGATGATGAATAAGGAAGACCAGAGATGAATCTACTTTGACTTGTGATATTGGCAAAGAACATTGAATACATGAACTGCCAAAAGGAATACATCTTTCTTAGAAGAAATGCAGAGTGCTCCATAGAGGCAAGGATAGTGATTTGGTTTTTTCCCTCACATACTTTGAAATTGTTGTCAGGAAGTGTCAATCCTTTCTGCAAGAGTAGAGGAGCAGCAGAAAAGATGATGATGATGATGATGATGATGATGATGATGATGATGATGCTTAATGAATTTAACTTCAGCAGTGAGCTTGAGCATGACAGAGATCATGAGGGTGGATGATTAGGACAAGGCAGGTCTTCAAGATGTTGTTCTTAGGGTCACTCTGAATTAATTTGATGTCTGGTGGCTTTTCTGAGACACATCTTTCTCCTGCAGAGCTCCTTGTGGATTCAAACAACTGGTTGACAGCATAATCCCTTACATAGGCCACCAGAACGGTCTACAATACTTTTTTTTTTGTTGTTCCTATGTACTGTTGTCAGAACTGATCCCAGCAGGTTTTTTAGGGGCAGTTACTCGCATGGGAAATTTGCCTGTCTCCCTGTGAAGCAGTTGATGGATTCACCCGCATGCCTTTTGGTGCATGCCTTTGTGCTGCCAGTGCAACTCCTTACTGCTAGGACACCAGAACTTCCTACAGTATAGGCCCTTATGAGATATTGCCTGATCCTAGCTCCCAATTCCAAA